AATGTTATGGATGTGTAGCATACAGATGTCATCCGAGAAATCCTACTCTGCTGCTGCTAGTTTTTTGGCACATAACACAAGCTGTATTGTGATATGAGTAAAACTCTTAATGTGGGGAAGTTGGTCTAAAAAGATGTTTATATGTTTAGCACACAGGACAGAAATGCAGAGGCACAGAGTCACTCAAGTGAGCTACAAAATTAGTTTGTGTTTTGCAAACTGAATTCCTTCATGACAGGCTCATTAAAAGTTCTTGCTGCCAAATGGTGTTTGCTTTCACCTTCAAAACCGTCCGCATTAATAATGAGCAACTCCACTTGGAAGTTATTTACATAAGGTATTGTTCCTGTCAGTGGTGCAATGTTAGGCACAGGTGGGAGGGAGAGCCCACACTCAGCAAATGAATTCAGGAGCCTGATTTAATGTATTGCTCAAAAACATTGGCACAGTCTAAGCTGGTATGACACATTCTGGGTGACATCTAGCTTAGCAGAACTTCACAGTAAGTGGGATTTATTTCTGCTAAGTTAACTCAGCTAACTGTACTTTGCAAGCCTAAATAGTTACTATTTTCAAGATTACTATCAGAACCGTAGTTGCTCTATTTTGTGTTTTGAGACTTTCCAGCCCCATAAGCTCTTAACTTCACGTGGAATACAGGTTCTTCTAGAGTCAGTTAGCTCACTATTCCTAAGTGTTTCTACTTGCACAGATGGCTATTATGTTATATCTTTCCATTCCTCTGGGAGCATTGTTGTCAGCAGCTGGTGCATTCCCCATACTCTAAGGCCTTCAATGGTGTGGCAGTTACACAGTAATAATGAGGATCTGTAGGAAATTTCATATAACATTATTAAAGGGAAAAGCACAGGACAAAACCTGGTTCATGTGGTTACTGTAAAAATAACTAACATATCTTCTCTTTAAGCTTTATAGTACTGTCAAATTCGCAGCTTTAAGTTTAACTCAAATGAACAGCCAAGGTAATCTAGAATTATCTGTCTTCACACCATTTGATACCGATATGATAAAGGAGAGTTGGTCAAATACATACCAGATTGTTATCTTCACCCTGAGCCATAAACAGATATTTTACACTCAATCTATACTTCTACCATTCCTCTTTCACTACTTATAGATATACATGCCCTATTCAAGATCTTTACTGATGGAAAAGCTTTACTGGTCCTTTTAGCTATCGAATTTCTGGCAAAAAGCAATGAGTTTTTGTAATATGAAATTACACATATCAGGATCTGGAGCATTAAAATGTTTCCAAATAGCTAACTTCAATTATAGGTGAAAAAATTATTTAAGAAAAAATACTCAGAATTATAGACTAGTAGCCAGCGTGCTGTATGCAATGCTTAGAAACTGGGTAATTTCTAAAGACTGTGTCTACTAAACCTTATAATTCTGTGATTTAATATCTAAAACCTGATGCCTATTAAAAAAGATCTGATAAGACAGAATCACCTAACCAGAATTTAATGGAATTGTGGGAACTTAATTAAAACCAGAATTTGTTAAACTTAACACAGTATTTTAAAATATTTCTTGCAGTTGCTGAGAACCTTTTTGTTTTGTTTTGACTAAGCTTCATAAAATACCTCTTTTTGTCTTCTGTGCATGGAACTTTTCATAGCACATTCCCTCACTGTCATTCATTCCCTTCTGCTTTTCCACTCTGCTTCTTTAATGAACAGTCAGTTGTCTTTACCAGACATTACTTACGTGAATGAAAATGCCCCCAAGATGATCTGTATGTCTTGTTTTCTGCCATCCAAGATGGAAATGAACTGCTTTGGTTAAAATGCCAGTCAATAATAGGTAAAATTTTATTATTCCTTAGGCTTATATTATTTAGTTTGCTTAGAAAGAAACATCAGTCAGTGCAAAATACAGATGTTTTATTCCAGAATTTAAACCTTAAAAGATAGTCATGAGATTAATCCCATGGTCTCGCAAAAAAGACTAAGATAACATAGTAGCAGCCAGTAACCATAGCTGAAATGGAAAAGGTTTTCTTCAAGTACAAGTACAAAACAGTACATGAGGATAAAATCATAGTGATTTACAGATAGAAATATGATGAAATATGGAAATTAGTTCTTTTCTACTCAGTTCTTCCATACAAATAAAAGCTAATAAACAGAAAGGCCATTTACCTTCTTACTTTATCTGTTTCTAACAAATTGAATCATTGTAACAAAATATAATATTTAATATTAAACTATTTGATGTTTCTAATGTGTGATTTCTCCTGATAAATGTTACTTGAGTTCCTTAACAGTCGTACAAATACAGCACATTTGGGACATTTGTGAATATATTCTAGTCAGAATACAAAGGAGATGCCTATGGATGTGTGGAACACAGAAGTTTTGACAACGTTGCTTAGTGATATTTGGGTTCATCTATTACATGATCATGAACACTCTACTGCATAATTTGTACATTAGGCCAATTAGAATTTTAGTTGCGTCCTTATAGTAAGTGAATAGAAAATAATACCAATAGGAATATGATTATTGATGTTTGAAACTAATACTCCACTTTATTCATGGTCAACTGTTTATGCCATATGCTGAAATACCACTTTAGAAAATGTTTGTATCATCATATTAACATAGCATTAGCTACAAGTACATATTAGGTGCCTGCATGAGAGCAACCATAAATACCTGGTTCCTTCCCAGATTGACCCAAACCAAATGCCTAGGTCCAGAAGAGCATCTCCTATCCCAAAGTTAATCAGTGTTTGGATCTTCATTTGCGGCTTCATTTGCCTTTGTGTAAAACTATTTAAGAACTTTTATCTCGATTTGTCTTCTTTTATACTCACTTTATATTCTCTGTAATCAAGAGTGCCTAAGCCCACACTAGCTACCTTTAACACTGCACAGAAAATAGTTGCTGTCTTGGATAGGAAGCCTCAGTGACTCATGGCTTTATTGCTAGGGCTGTTCACTCTTATCTGCAGACAGGCTTCAGTGGAAATCACCTGCAGCAAAATAAGATTTGCTTGAGTAGCAGTGGGCTCCTGCTTGTCATACCATCATATTTCCAACCATACAAGTCTCTAACTGACAAACAAGCAGATAGACACTGACAAAACTTATTTGAAAAATCGTATCTCTTCTGTACAGAAAGGCTGCATGTTTGCTATAGGCCATATTTTCCTTCTGTCCCTCGCAGCTCTTTTCTCTAGTATCAAATCAAATAACTGAAGCCAGCAAAAGATGTGAGAGTAAACCTTATTCCATTAAAGAAACAGAAAGAAATGGTTTTAAATAATGACAGATGATATTTCTTCTCTTAATGAAGGATTTTACTGAACATTTCAATGATACTTTTGTCTTATTGACAAACTATAACCTACTGAGAAAGAACTGACCTCTGACTATCAGAATATGCACAGGCTTAGCACAGGAGTCTTAATACCTTAATATTCAGTAATACCACCAGAAAATTTGGCAGCAGTTATCCAAACTCCAGACCACAGTTGGTATAGGCTTAGCCAGCTCAGAGTATAAGCAGAAGAAGTTGAGGTGTGTCCGGGCTTTCCCTCAAAGACATAACCTAACTCCTGTGACACCTGCTAGAGTCTAACTTCTACATTAGCTTTCCATCTTGGATCACTGAAACTACATCAAAGCAGTGGCAGCTGTAATGCAGAATTAACAGAATCCATATATTTTGCTTAAGACCTCATTTGGTTTCACCTACCGTCTTTGTTATGTTTCTTATTCTATAAGTGGTTTCTGATGTATGTAGAATCTCCTTTTTTTACTTTATTAGTTTACAAGATGAATGATATACGTGTAAAGAAGTAGGCCCACTTGATCTATCTTTCTGTTGTTCACAAAGCAGTACTACTAGCCCAGGAACCATTTCAGAAAATACACCAAATACAACATTGTTTATTACAGGTTATTCTTCTGTCTCTGTAGGGAGGCAAATTAAATAGGTTTGTCTGTATTGTAAAGTAAACTATCTCTTATCCACTCAGAAAATCTGCAATAATGAAATTAAGTTTCAAAGTTTGTTAAAATTGAATACACATGGCCGATCTATTAGACAGTTACAGGGTTGCACTGGAATGTTACGTTTGTCTTATCTAAATCTTTTAATGTTTATGGTGGAAAGATATTAAATAGGTAGGCTGGAATGGAAAATAGTTATGTATTTGCTGTATTTTAGTTATTGATATTGTCTTTCAATCTTAGTACAGACAAGAGTGGTTATGCTAGACGTTGCATATAAATGTAGTAACAGATAGTCCCTGCCCTGAAATTTTTTTAATGGAAATAAGTAAAGCAAGCAGTAGGAGAAAGGAAGACTTACATTTCTTACTTTAAAGGCAATTGAATGAGATATAGAGAATGAGGGAGAAAACTGGTTTGAGGTGAGGGACTGATAGCAAACATTTTTTTTTTGTCAGATATAATCCTTCTTTTAAAAGCACTGCCCACCAGCTTTTGTCAGCACAGATCTGTATTCGTGCTAAAGTTGACATGAGCACCAATGGCTTAAAAGTGCAACAACAGAACAATTAGACATTGTCTTTTTGGTCAAGATGTTTCTGGACTTCAGGAACCATCCTGATCTTACAATGAAGATCCTCAGGATGCTATTTTGTCCCAGCATTTTATGCTGGACATCCCTCTGTCAAACTGGGAAGGAACAGGAGACAAGTTCTTACCCGACTCTCAGATTGAATGACATGAATCAGTAATGACTCAGGATGTATGACCTGACACAGGGCCTGCTTCTCTCCATTCTCACCTCATGACAGGATAGATGAGTCTCTCCTATAATAATCCAGTGCAGATTTCTCCTTTTTTCTGTTATACTCTGCCCTCTCCCCCTTGATTAGTTTTGTGAGTAGGATTGCAGGGTTGTACAATAAATGTGGTCAGAGTTGTCTTCCTATTAAAAAAAAAATAAATCATTTGTAAATTTATGTGCAACCTGTAAAAATTTTGTTATTGTTTCAGGACACAGCAGGTCAGGAGAGATATAGAACAATTACCACGGCTTACTACCGAGGTGCAATGGGCTTCATTTTAATGTATGACATCACGAATGAAGAATCTTTCAATGCTGTACAGGACTGGTAAGTAAAACTTGAAATTCATATTAAATAGCACAGAGAATATTTGATATTATTCACCTGCTGTGACAATGTAAATTATTCTGGAAAACTTATTTCTAAATACAGTGCCCAAGCATTCATATGCTGAAATATACAGTGGGTTTGGGTTTTTTTTTTTGGAAAGACAATGAATACTTTAAAATGTGTTGCATATAATTCACTGTAACCATTGTGTTTTCTGTGGTTTTGGTTAAAGTGCATTTTTCATACTACTAAAACCAGTGACACACTAGTGTGGAGGGTAATTGTTAAGATACCAGAAAGTGTTTCTATATTTCATGGAAACAAATGAGATACTGTGCGTGGGGGCTGTCTTTTAATTTAATTGTTTATCATGTTGTTTTTAACTGTAGCCGGTTATACTTTATACTGTCAGTCTTGTCCCTCAACTGTAAAAATTATAAGCAAACTTCATCAGAATAGCAGAACCTAAACTGGCTTGTACTTATATTACCTTGCATTATGTGAGTGTCAAGATGTCTCCATAAAAGCGTGTCATTTTAATCAGATATGAGTCAGTCAGGATACAAACGATCTAAGGCTTTTTTAAGTAAAGCTGACCCAAAAGGAAAGCTAGAGTTAGTCTCAGTGATCTCTTCTTTTTCAAGTTATTTTAACATCTGAGAGCCTCCTAGCAGTGCTTTGAGTGATATGAATAGCATTTGCCTTCTGTGTTCTGCATGCTCTCTTCCATGCTGTTCCCATGGGACAACTGTGTTTGAGAGAGGATTTTGTTCAGAGTTTGGGTGATTTGTACAGTATGTTTCTTTGGTGCATTTTTTTTTATATTTATTTTAAGTTATGCACTACTGTGTACTTCTTTCATGACAGGCAAGGTCAGAAACATGTTTCACACTTAAAGTAAATGGCAGCGATGTTGTCATGCCTGTTTCTAATGGAAATTGTTTCCCAGCCTCAGAATCTCCAAGAAAGAAACTTTCTCTTTCACACTCTTCTACCTACTGCTGCAGTAGAAAGTGTCACTGAACCCATGGAGCACCTTCCCTCCCTACACCTGGAGTTTTTCTTGGTCTATATATGCTGAGCCTGGTCATTCATGGCTCTGAAAATAAGAACTGAGAACGTCAGCTTGATTCTGCTCTACAAGAAATGGGATCTTGGGTTGCCTAACATTTCCTGTGTAAGCACTAGGGACGTAGTCATTCACACTCCACCAGGGGGAAGGGACAACTCCAGAATGGGTCCCACCTTCTCCTCTCCATCAGTTATCTGTATGAATCTACACCAAATTGCTCTTATGAGCAGCACTTTTCATTTACTAGAGAATCAGTAAGCTTACATGGCTAGTGTAGACCAGTAAACTAGCTTTTGGAGAGTTGAATGTATCTGAGGGGAGTCTCTGCTTGATACTCAAAGAGGAAGGCACATTTGCTCACTGTGACTTGTTATGCCAAAGGGATGTTTTGCCCATTTTATACGAACTGGAGGCATCATGCTGAGTGCTTGCTCTTGCACGTTTGTGAGTACTGCGCTGTTCAACAGCATGAGACAGAATCTCGTACCTAACGGGAGGTAGCTGAAAGTGTTATTCCTAGATGCTGCTGTGAAAGTTTAGCAAAAATAGGGAATCAAGGGGTACACCCAACCTCCCAGATGAACCTGCAGTTGTGGTTGCCAGCACTACTGCTTCCTGGGCCTGCCAGCTTTCTTGCCATGCCTCTGCTGTTCTTTGTCCATGGGTTGATTCTGTTCAAGCACTGGGTTAACTGGGTGATAATGGCTGTCTAGGACCAGCTGTAATCTGCAAATCTCATTGCCCCATCTCTGGGCAAACCAGATGGCATGCTGTGTATTATCTAGCTTCCTCCAACACAAAGGTTTCTTTATAGCAACTGTAAATATGAGTACTTATTATTAATTTTCCCACCTGTTTGTTTTCCAGCCTCCTAGATCTGGTACAGTTAGCACTCTTTGTCTCCTGGTGAAAAGTAACTTGCCTTCATACTAATTAAAAAAAAAAAAAAATCCCTGTAAAGTTGAACAAGAAAATCTTTAAAAGCTATGGAGTTCTTAAATAGGTTTTTGAAATATGATATTTCCATCATTTTTAGCTAGAAACTGTACAAATAGTTGGCAGCTACTACAGAAATATGGTGGGCAGGAGGGATTACATTATTATATGCCAAGAGCTACTGAGCAGTCATCTGCATGATGAACGGGGCAACAGAGAGGCAGTGCCTCACTTATCAGGATGAGACATATATTTGCTTGTTATTTTTATTTTTAATTTCATAAGCCAATTTGCTGCCCTGCTGTTCTTCCTCTGTTTTATTCCTCCCATCTCACAGCTGATAATTGATTGTGATTAGCCCATGCTCCAATTTTTATAGTAGTTACAAAACTACAGCTCGCTTCTGAATGTGAGAAAAGTTAAAGAGAACTCACAGTTACCAATGCTGCCAAAAAGCAAGCATGGCTATGTGCACGTCTCTGTGCATTTGTGAAAGATATGGGGGGAGGGAGTGGGAGCTTTGAACCCTCTCTGGGGCTTAAAATGCTTTTCTGTATGATAAATGTGCCTCTGAAGGCAGTGGTTTTATTTTGTGTACATGCACAATAAGCAAAATCCAGGCTCAAATCATGTCAGCTTCAAGGCTTGATCTTGAAACTGCACTGCAGTCAGGACAATGAATCTACTGGTGCCTTTTAGATTTGGATAAAGGAGTTAGGTTTAAAATATGTATTGGGATAATTCTTTAAAAACAGTTAGTTCAAACTAATTGTACTCATATTGAAAGGCATTTTTTTTCAGTCTGAAGTCTGGCTGACATTTCTTCTTTAAAACAACAGGTGGATAGTTGTATTTCTAGATGCCATACCTAGGTCAGCATGAATCTATTCAGCTGTGAGAAATCCTATATCTAATTTGACTATTCACATTTTACATTAAAAAAAATCAGTATCTGTAATTTTATATAAACATATTAGCATCAATATATGTAACAGTGTAGTAGCCAAGCATTTGTGCACCATTCTGTGAGACTGAGAAGGGATTTTGTCTACAAGCTTAGCTAAGTCACTTGAAGATCCAATAAATTTCAACCATGCTGCAGACACTGCAGGAAACATTCTTGTCTTACCTTCCCTGATTAAAATAAAAAACCTTAAACATTTCAAATGACAGTAACGACAAAAGTTGTAACCTAAATATGAGGTTGAAAATCTTTCGGCATGATAAGTCTTGAATTGGGACTTCTGATAGTTCTGCTGTATGCACACCCAGTGATTTATTTATTTTCAATCTCATCCAGAGGATGATGCTAAGAATACACTGCCAGTGCTCATGTCCTCTAACTGTTCGGTCACTTCAGAATTGCTGCCTTCTAGGGTATGTTCAATTAACTTGTGTTCTCTGAATAGCTATGTTCCCTGTATGGTTTCATACATACTACAACAGATGCTGCTTAAATGAGCCTAGCTTGGCAGACAGTTCACACTAACAGCATTGACAGGTCCTTAATAATTTTTTACCATTTGGATGTTTTTTGTATCATCTATAGACTTTATCAGCAGTTAGTGGAAATGTTTAAAAATGTTGATAAAATAATTGAAGAGTATTTCTCTTCAATATCAGGTCAGTCACTGGATGTGTTTCCTCTGAAGTGGCAGCAGTCACAGCACTGAACAGTGTTCTCCGTTATAGATACAGATTTTCAGAAGTTCACAAGGACCAACAGTTTCTGTTTTTATTCAGAGAGTGGATGTGTGCTGAAAATCTGGCTGCTAGCAGAAACAGCAGATCAAACATGCTTTGACTCAGGAGATCTCCTATGGAGCTCTGCCCAGATTTTGAAGCTGCCTTTTTCATGAGGCTTTTTCCTTCAGAAGTGCAGCCAATGGTGCAAGTGTAAGGTGTGTACCTTGCAGTACTTTGGTGCATGTTGGTCATGCCACCCTGAAAAGATGTAGATTTTTCCAACAAATGTATTTCCTATAAATAGAAACCACTTGCAAGGCTCCCTGGCTGAGGTCTAAATTAGAAACAGGGAATAACCAAAACATCCCATTTAGCTGAGTTCTTTAGACAGCATCCACAGCTTTCAAGTAATAAGTCTAGTGGAATCTGATTTTCTTTAAAAATTCCTTCTTATTAAATCTTTAGGGGAAATAAGTGAATGTTGAGAGTGGCTCCGTGCCTCTTCAATACACTTTTGTTTTAGTTCAGTTTTAATGTCACCGTGGTCGCATTATTCCTCTTTTATGCTACCACCTGTAGCATTTAAGTTTGATAGCCTTTTCCATCATTACATTTCACTGGGCGCTGTTATGCCCCCTTTCCTCCTAGTGGTTTAGTCCACATAAGGCATTAGCTTTATGGCAGTGGTACCTTAGGTAGAAAGGAGAAGGTAAAGGCTTTGTACTATCTTTGCAAATGCTGTCAACTCGGTACATTGAGTTCTATAGAGGTGACAGGAAAATAAATGCCTCTGAGTTGAATTTGAACCCATTTTATAACTACAACCTTTCTAGACTTACAATAACTGGATTGGAGTTGAAGAGTTATTTATACTCAGGATATTTCTAATGCAGTGTCTCCGACTAGGTTGGAAGCAGAGGAACATAAACCATGATCTAAAAGCCTGAAGTTTCATTTCCAGGTTAAAGCCCTAGACTTGAAATTTTGCTAAGCCTAAAGGCTAGACAGGGACAGAGCGCACATTGTGTATAGTTGTTTACATTCACTTTAAGTTGCTCCTCTGCACCCGAAAGCATTGTCCCAACTTGAAGTGTTTTTCTGGCAATATCTTGTTGTCGGGTGACTGCTGAAGGCACTGCTGTGGAAGGCTTCCTTGTGCAGGAATTCAGAAGTCTCAGATTCAGGGATGCTTCACTGGGAGACACAGAAGGCTGAAGGAGCCTAAAAGGCTTTGAATTATTTAAGTTTTCAGATGATCTGTGTTTTGTAAGCCTGTCAAGGTCTACAGAATGTGTTCTTCCTG